ATTAGATGTAAAATATGTGAGTCACTGAGTCACTAATTTTGGACAAATCCCTGATGCTGGTGGTCATGGAGGCAGTATATAAAAAGTTCTGCTTCTTTGGATTCCAGTAGACTAGGATACTATTGTCCTTATGATTTGAGTTTCAGGGTATCTGATACCTGAGTCTTGACTGGAAACTTTTTAGAAAATATCTTAATATGTAGGAATTTAGAAAGAGTTAAAGAAGGCTTAGATTAATTCTGGTGCTTAGCTAGCAAATTACGCTATGAAGGGCAGGCCCGGTGGCGCACTGCTGTAGTGCACCGCTTGAGAAGCGCGGCGTCGCTCCCGCCGAGGGTTCGGATCCCACATACAGACTGGTTCCCGCTCACTGGCTGAGCGAGGCGCGGGAGCAACACTGAGGGCTGCGATCCCGTTGCAAAAAAAAAAAAAAAAAAAAAAATTACTCTATGAAGTCCCCATCGCCCCAATTTCCCCAATCTCCTCTACCGCCACTCCACAAATTCGGTTCATCTCAACAAAGAAAATCAGAAAAGTCTAGATAAAAGTCTGGAAGAAAACAGAAAAGTTCTCAGCTGAGAATACACAGAGAAGAACAGATTATAAATTGATTTTTTCCATATTCTATAAAATTCCCATGGCTCTCTAGGGTAGTTAATACATTTTGATAGATGATTAATAACTTGATACTCTGACATACCTCTAAGAAGAGTTCTACTTCTTTGACTTTTTTGTTGGATCTACCTTTACGTGTAACCATATATTCAAACAACTATTTACTGGAGGTGTGTGTGTAGGGCATGGTGGTTGTCCACATACAAAAATGAGTAGAATGCAGTCCCTGCCCTCTAGAGGCATATAATCAGTCCAGTCCCATTTGTACCTTGCAGTTACAAAGTTAAGAAAGTCACAGGTGGAGCTTCTCTATGCCAAACTTTTAGGCTGCAAAAAAACTCCTTGGTTACACAGCATCATTCTGGGACTAGAGCTATTTCATTATTACTGAATTTTAGAATTGAGCAATGGTGGGAGTACTTATCATTTAGTCCTCACATAATTGTAAAGATCTAATGAGAGAAAATAAAAACCCCACACAAATAGTAAGTAGTCAATAAGTGTTAGTTAAATCTGAATATTATCTACAATTGGCGAAAAAGAGACCTAGCAAAATGAAATCACTTGCCTAGTGCCATACATCTAGTTAGTGGTCAAGTCTGGCTAAGATTAGGTCTCATTATTCCTAGCTTATATTCATTCATATCTTCTGCCTTAAAAAGAGTGCCATGCTGGGGCCGGCATGTGGTGCTGATAACAACAAGGCCACAGGTTCGGATCCCATACAGGGATGGCTGGTTAGCTCACTGGGTGAGCGTGGTGCTGACAACACCAAGTCAAGGGTTAAGATCCCCTTACCAGTCATCTTTAAAAAAAAAAGTGCCATGCCATGATGTAAAGAGAAGCTGACTCAATTAATCAGTAATTATTAATCAATAATTATTTTTGTTCCCACTGGGTGCCTGGCGCTCTGCTGGACTCTGGTGAGTACAGAGGAATATTTCCACAGGTGGAAGTGAATTGGGAAAGGGAATAGGTTAGAGCAAGGACATCAGCCTATATGGCACAGAGAGCTATTTAGTTAGGGAGGTATCAGATAAGTAGGGTGGGGTTAAATGGAACACTGGGAAATCTAGGCCTGCCCCGTGTGACTACATTCTATTTCCTTTAAGAGATGGACTTTTGAGAGAACATAATGTGGCACAAGAATATAGCCACTGGAAGTAGCCCCGGGTTTGAATTCTTGTTATTATGACACTCTGCTCAAAACCCATCAGTGGCTTCACATTTCATTAAAACTCAAAGTCCTTATAATTATTTACAAAGTCCCATATAATCTGGCTCTCCATTACTGCTTTGGCCATTTATCTCTCTTGCTCACTCTGCTCTAGCCAGCCTGGCCTCCTTGCTGTTCCTCAATCACACCAAGCACTCTTGCCGTGGGGACTTTGTACTAATTACTCTCTGCTTAGAGTGCTTCTCCTCCAGATTGCTGCATGGCTTTATCTTTCACTTCCTTTAGATCTACGCTCAGTGTCACCTTATCAGAGAAGACTCTCTGACTACCATATATAAACTAGTACCCTCTGCCCACCGCTGTCATTCCAGTCCTTACCTGAATTTATTTTTCTTTATACTATTTATCATCCCCTGATATATGTTTATCTATTTTCCTTAGAATGTAAGCTTCTTGAAAACAAGTGTTTTCTAGTGCATAGAACAGTGTAGAATATGTACTCTACTCAAAATGAATGAATGAGTTCCATAATTCTCATGAGGTTCAGTGTGCCCATACACAATACCAGGATAATAATACTTAAAGAATTGCTGGGGTCAAATAAGGTAATGCTTATCAAGCACCTAGCCCATTGTAAAATGCTCAGTAAATGTTAATGCCTGCCCTGTTTTATAATTTATATTTAATGTTGTCCAGTTGGTAGTTTTAGTGGTATCTTGATTTCCATTTGACTTAGATAAGGACAGTCCACATGTTAGTGATAAAGAAAAAAGGTTATTTATATCTTACATAATGCTACCTTGGCAGAATGCAGTAATTATAGTGCTTACATTTTCTTATGGAACCATTAAGCTCTAAGTAACCCTCAATTAACAGAATAGATATATTTTAAGGAAGTTTTGTCAAAAGGCAAATTTCTTTTTTCTTTTTTTTTAAAAGATGACCGGTAGGGGGATCTCAACCCTTGGCTTGGTGTTGTCAGCACCACGCTCAGCCAGTGAGCGAACCGGCCATCCCTATATGGGATCCGAACCCGGGGCCTTGGTGTTATCAGCACCGCACTCTACCGAGTGAGCCACGGGCCGGCCCAAAAGGCAAATTTCTAATCAAGTGAATCCTATATTTCAATTATGAAATTGGAGTTCCTCTTTTTTTTTGGGGGGGGGCAGCTGGCCAGTAAGGGGATCTGAACTCTTGACCTTGGTGCTTGGTGTTACCAGCATCATGCTCTAACCAAGTGAGCTAACCAGACAGCCCCTGGAGTTCCATATTTGCTAGGTCTTAAAATAAGGTGAACTCATAATCTGAAGTGCCACAAACCTATATATCTTTGACTCTGGAAATTTTTACATGATGCAGTGATTTTGGCTAGGGAAAAATAACTTGTACATATGGCTAAGGACTGGGTTGTTCATTTCTGCATTGAATGAGTAGAGTAGAGTCACCCAGTAATCAGAAGATTTTTGCCTAATTATTGCTTCTTATCAGACTTATGGACTATTTTAGCACATCATTGTTATTATAAGGTACTTAATAAACTTTAGATTGCATTTTTACTACTTTTGGTGACCAAATTGGGGACAAGATTATGACTGTGACTTCCAAATTTTGTTAATTTAAAGAACACCATTACTGGGCCGGCCTGTGGCTCACTCGGGAGAGTGCGGTGCTGATAACACCAAGGCCCCGGGTTTGGATCCCATATAGGGATGGCTGGTTGGCTCACTGGGTGAGTGTGGTGCTGACAACACCAAGTCAAGGGTTAAGATCCCCTTACCAGTCATCTTTAAAAAAAAAAAAAAAAAAAAGAACACCATTACCATTAAGTGAATTTGGAACAATTAATTTTTAAGTTTCAAAATTCTAATAAGTCAGATTTTTTTTTCTTACTGGACATGGAAGCATTTTATGTACAGTGTCCCTATAATATTCACAAATTGTACAATACACATTGATTTCCTCATCTTCATCCACTAACCCAGTCATTTACCAGTCTGGTGTTTCACAAGTGAAACTTTGACACTAATCCAGAGGACAGGAAAGGCTCTCACAAAGGAGACTGTCTTTTGGCTGGAGGAGCCATATATCTTTCGTGAAGTTCTATTGAAACTTGAAGATAAGTGTGTTTCTTCTGGGTGAAGAATGCTCTATTAATGTGTCCTGTACTCCAGCTACCTATAATAGAAGACAATGAATGCTCATAAAAAGCAAGCAAGCAAACAAGAAATCACACAACAACTTCCTACCTCTGTGAATGAATAAATCTCCCCCACTCTTCCCACCAGCCAGAAAAAGAAAATGGAAAGCAAGGCAAAAAGAAATCAAGAGTTCTATTCCTGTTGCAGAAGTCAGTGAGGGACAGGGGTGTTCAGATTCCCAGGCAAGCTGGTGTCAGAGTATTATTCCTTTTTATTTCCTCTGGACCTCTGCTTTCCTGGTCCAGGCTAGGGGTTTAAATGTCCAGGATTCAAACATGACCATTCCTAGTCTTAAAATATCTAGGAAAAGATAGAGCATGCTCAACAAAATTGTGTGTTTGACTATATCACAGTACAGACAGCACAGTTGGAAGAACACAGCCATCAGAGTCTGATGTACCTTGGATTGAATTTTTGCCCTGCTATTTATTAATTTTGTATGCTTATATAAGATACTTTACCTCTCTAAATGTATTTTCTCATGTGCAAAATGAAGATATATCTACTTCAGACTGTTGCTGTGAAAATTAATAAGAGAATGTATACAAAGCTCCTAGTGTAGTGTCTGGCACACAGAGGTACTCAGTCAGTGGTAATGTATCATTAAGATAAGTGTACACTGTTTTCCAAAAATGGCTGCTATAGAAAAATTATTGTGTATTAATGAATTTAAATTTTTTATTGTTGCAATTGATATTTGGTATCAAGGCTCTTCCAAAGGTAATGAAATTTCTAACCAGTGCCATGGGATACCTGGAAAAATTAGCAAATTCTTTGGGGATGACAAACAAAACCACCTTGTTCTTAGTGTCATAGTTACTCTATAGGAGAAAAGTGAACCTTGTAATTAGTTTTTGGAAGAACACATATGCCAAGGTTTTGTTCATAGCATGTTTTCTATTAGTTGCATGTACTTATTCAGGATATGGAGAGACCAGTGAGCTGAGAAGTAGGGTGCTCATGATGAATGTATTTTTCTTTTAAATAAATTTTTCCCCCCCTCTCTCCAGCTGCTCAGATAAAGAATTTGATGAGCCAACTAGGAACGAAGCAGGACTCAAGCAAGCTACAGGAAAATCTGTGAGTAGTTTCTTAACAAGGTTGGGTTTTGTGAGGGCCTGTTAAGGACATACTTCAATAGTTGGATCTAGAAGAGGGGCAACAAAATATATATATTAATGGATTGTCATCTCCATTCTTCTCAGAGTCCTTGAACTCTCATTCTTTCTTCCCTTGGGCAGTTTAACAGAACAATTTAGGGAAGTAGAGAAGGGAATTCCTACCACTCTTAAACTATATTCTGCTCGCTACTTTGCCTGAATGAGCCTCCTTGTTGGCACAGGACTCTTGATGATCTAGTCTAGTTGGATATCCAACTATATATAATATTAGAAAAATGTATTCAGAATCACCCAAAGGGAGACTGAAGGAAAGAATAATGGGCTGGTAGGAGGGAATCTTGATTCTTATCATATCCTCCTTGACTCCACTTCTGCTCTTAGAAGTTCTATTCTTCATTTTTAAAATATACTGAGCAATCATCATTGTTTTCTGTCCTAGACATTGTGAAGTGAGAGAATAACTGTTATTACTGTGAGCATATGAGATAGATATGAAATATCTCTGGATATTTTAGTATTCCCTGGGATGTTCAGGCTCCTGATAGACTCCCTCTTATTTTTTATCCTGAAAGCCCATTTGCAGTGAAAAAAACACTAATGTGTTGTCTCAGTCCTTTTGGGCTGCTATAACAAAATATCATAAACCGGGTAGTTTATAAATAAAAACTTATTCCTCATAGTACTGGAGGCACTGGTAGATATAGTGTCTGGTGAGGGCCCACTTTTTCATAGATGGCACCTTCTTGCTGTGTACTCACTTGGAAGAGGCAAGGCAGTTCTCTGGGACCTCTTTTATTAGGGTACTAATTCCATTTATGAGAGCTCCACCCTCATGATCTAATCACCTCCAAAATGACCCCACCTTCTAATATCATCACATTGGAGGTTAGGATTTCAACATATAAGTTTTGGGGGGACACAAACATTTAGACCATAGCATGTGGTTTCTGTTCTCCCTTAAAAACTTTACAGAAATGCCAGAGAGTAGAGGAAATCATGCATGAAAGGAGCTCTGTTTAAATTTCCACTACTTTCCAATCCCACTTAATATATTACATATTCTTCCCTCTTTAATTGCCTTCCCTCCCTACTCTTTATGTATTTTTTTTTCCTTTTTGTCTTTTTTCGTGTCCGGCAACGGATCGCAACCCTCAGTGTTGCGCCCATACCAGACCGGGACCGGCAACGGGATCGCAACCCTCGGTGTTGCGCCCACACCTCGCTCAGCCAGTAAGCGGGAACCGGTCTGTATGTGGGATCCGAACCCTCGGCGGGAGCGCCGCCACA